TATGAATGCAATGACCAATCAGAGGCGTTCAGATGAGTCATCGCTGAAACGCCGGTGTTTTGTTCAGTGCGCGCGCTCGCCGACTGAATTCTGCTCTCTGGCGAATTTTCTCATCAGAAACAACAACAAGATGTGCATACGAATGTAAGTACGATATTCATTTCAGAGTGTAAACAGCTTCAGTGTTTTTAATGGGAGTTTTTGAGATGGGGAGTTTTTGAACTTTGGCTAGACTGAAGTCAATGATCATCTTCTTTGATAATGTAAATGTTCTTTGCTCTCTTTCTGTACAATGAAAGTGTTATAATTAGTAACGTACAATGTTTTTATTAAATTAACATTAATAACAAAGTCAGTCTTATTTAAAATATTTTATGGTATGACACCCATATCTGTACTATTATGCTACTTTGCCCAACGCCCATTATAGATCAACTAACATAATCTATTAAGGTGCAAAATTATTATATTAATTATTAAAATCATGCATTTACTTACACATATTTTAGAATCGAGATTTTTCATGATATAGTTAAAACGTTTGGGAATATTTCGAATAAAAAGGAAAAAATAAATAAAACATAAGCCTATATCAGTTATACAGTGCTATAGTGGCTGCTTTGTGTCACATGACATGCATGACGCCCCTGACACTACAATACAAAATTATTTGTCAGATAAATGAAACATGATGAAACATTAATTTGAGTTTAAATTGTTATAGCTTACTTCTAGAGATTGTGATACATGACATTGTGAAAAATGACTGAATGAATAATACTGAAAGTAGGTTAAGATGAGTTTTAAAAGTGTGCCCCCTAAAAGCACAAGTGGCCCCTGCCTGGCCCCCCTAATTACTGTGGTCTAGAAGCGCCACTGAATATATCATTATAATACCACTGGATCCACCCCCTAATAATAGTATCACTAATCATGATTTACAATAAATTGACATACAGTGTTCATTTAAACACTTATTTTGAGATTTGCAACATTTCATTTTAAAAAATAAATTCTTCACACCAAAACATGAATTGTATTGAAATTCTTATCACTGATGTTGTTTGCACTCAATTTTGTGCATTCAAACAATATATTTCATAGACAGCTAGGCGAACAGATATAGGGGGGGGGGTGCAACTACCTCAATGTGCCTGTCACGATCACCAGCTGGAGTGCCCTGGACATCCACCAGAAGGCACTCTTCCCCACTCCATTTCCACTCCATTTCCCACAAATCTTTGCCCAGTCTCATGTTTGTTGTCATGGTTCCCCTTGTTAGTTCCCATGGTATTTAATTAGCTCCTCCCCCTTGTTTACCTTGTTATCCTGTTTGTCTCTCCCTATTTATACCCTGTGTATTTCCCTGGGTCCTTGCAAAGTCTTGTATGTGTTATTACTGCAGTTCTGAGTGCTCTATTGTTTTTTTGTTCCATGGTCTTGACCCCTGTCTGTTTTCTGGATTACCCTGTTTGCCTGAGTTTCCTGCCTGGTGTTTTGTGTTGGACTGTTTACCCTGTGTTTATGACTTCTTGCCTGTTTATTGGACTACGGCTTTGGATTACCCCTTAAATGGGTCATATGATGCAATTTCAAGTTTTCCTTTTTCTTTGGAGTGTTACAAGCTGTTCGTGAATAGATAAGATCCCTAAAGTTGCAAAGACTAAAGTCTCAAACCCAAAGAGATATTCTTTATAAAAGTTAAGACTGGTCCACGCCCTCCTAAAACGGCACATTTAAACACGCACCCACATGTCTACCTCACTGTGTGGGAAGATTTGCATAATGCCGCCCAAATGTTCAAAGAAAGAAGGTGTAACTTTATTGTTGCTGCCACCGCCGCTGCCATGTTGTGAAGAAGCTGTGTGTTTCGTGGCGAAAGCGAAAATACTTAGTTTGGCCTTCCAAAAGAGGACACGACTAGAAATCAGTGGTTAAGTTGTA